TCCGGCGAGATTCGAACTCGCGTTACTGGATACAAAGTCCAGGGTGTTGACCGCTACGCCTCACTGTCTATACATTATCCAGCGTGACCCGTATTCGCCTCGGAGAATTCTAAATAGAAACAACTGATGAGAAATTTTGGGGATCAAATTTAGCAGTAGCCCGCTCAAATATCTGCTTCAGTAATTTCATTTTCCAGCAAGATATGGAGTAGCGTTTCTGGTTTTTAAGTGTGCAATTGTGATCATTTCACTACAAAGCGCTTGCCTTCTGGAGCTTAGGTTTCCCCTCCCCGTCACCTTATTCTCTTGTGCGTTACCAATTACATTCTCAGCACGTCATGAAGTAATGAAATAAGACGCTGCCTTTCTATGAGCGTTTTAGGAACTCAAAATAAGCTTTACAGCATTTTTACTGAATTCCTGGTTCCTATACTTCCACCTTCGTTTTAATCGAACAGTCCACATTCCACAGTCTTTTTTCAGCAAGGTCACCACGCAACCTTCAACTCTTCAGATGGATTTTCGAGCACACCGAGGTCCACCACGATCTTAATTCCTTAAATGTGTTTAAGAAACTGGAATGGATTTCGAAGGTTAGAGCTTGATCAATGAGACTCCGTTCACCTAGCAGGTTGCTTAGGAAATTGCGCATCTGGCCCTTCCGCAAGATCCCTTCGAACCTTTGTTTTCATGAATATCACCAAAATTGCTCAGGTACTCCGAATGGGCACAAATGATACCATTAACGATATCACACCATTTCAATCCACGGGGAACCGGTAGTACAGGCGGTTCAGGGAAGGTGCCTATCCTTTCGAACACCATCCACACTCTTGCAGCTCGTTGACTTCTGATACCTATTCTGTTCACAACTCACTTGGGGGGGGGGGGGGGGGGNGGTCAGGTCATTTTATAATTCTCTTAATTTGAGAGCCCGTCTCGGGACCACATGGAAAAATCTTTATGCTCTTTGCTTTATCGTATTATTTCCCAAGGAAATGGTGGGATGCAAAAAGAGTTCTGAACTAAGAACTCCCGTCCACTGGAGTTACAGAGAATGGGGAAGCCTAATGTCAACACATCGACGGCATTCCTAGCAAAGTGAAGGGGAAAGGAGACAGGATGTAGGTATGGTCTTCTGATGACGGCCCATCCTACTGTGCGGAGGATAGTCTGGACAAATGGAAATCTTTGGGATGCACCTCATAGCCCTGAAACTTGTTGTTGGAGGTTTTTCCCCCTGCCCAGCTCGGTCAGCAGAAAAGAAACTCCATGTTCAAGTGAATGAGTTGGAAATGAACGTTCTTCGATCAAAGTTCAATGGAAGTCCACGAAAAAGAAAAAGGCGCATAGATCAATTGTCCACACATAATTCAATAAAAGTAACGGCGACGAATAAATGTATGAGAGAAAAAAAACCAGAAGAAATAAAGAAAAAATGGGACCTCAGGCGGTCTAGAGGTTGAAGAGCAATCTATAATGGAAAAATCAATGCAGCACTGGGAGGGAAGCCAAAGCTTAGGTCGCGGTAGGTCAATCGGTTTGATCTACCCGAACACAGATTGTGTTTAAGTTGCTGTAAGTGTTCGTTTCAGGCTATTCCCATGTGTTTATTTAGTTGGTAGGAGCTTTGGGGTATGGTCTAGCTGCCTATGGGACCGACTGAGGTAGATGGGGAAAGAGATAGAATGGCGTTTAGGGGATAAACGACAGGAACCAAGTTGTTCCCGATCAAGCAGGTAATCGATTTCTGCACATAGGAGTTTTGGAAGTTTCGGGTGAGACCTATAGCAATCTCAGCGGAAGGCCTTTGTAGTATTTTAGCAAAACGGAAAGTTTCTGTGAGATTTGAACTTTCGTTACTGGATTCAAAGTCCAGGGTGTTAACGTTAAACCATGGAACCAATAACAGCTATAGGACAAGCCAAAATTGAAAAATCTATAGTCATTCAGTAATTCCCAAATGAAATTTAGCAAAAATCCGTTGCAATTTGTATTTGCAAAAAGTCAGGTTCCGGCGAGATTCGAACTCGCGTTACTGGATTCAAAGTCCAGGGTGTTAACCGCTACACTACGGAACCGTGCACTTCCCTGCGATAACGATTCATAGGCCAGCGCGGTCACGAAACTTGGCTAGTACGTAGGAGTGCAAGTGTTTGTGTCAATAATGTACAACACCCACATAACATCTCTTTGAGAGCTTATAAATGTTCTACATGTTTACGATACCTGAGAATGCGCCATGCAATCGATTTATTCTCAGAATTGTGACGGAGCCTGAACTACTTCTATCACCCAGTTAATGAGGCCCAACTGGTATATTCACTGGTAATTCACGTTGATCTATTTCCACTGGACCTATCCCGAAGTTATGCGAGACTGTTTGGCCTGAACCAATATGGACCCTTGGGTGTTGACGTGGTGTGACTTGGTGCTGCTCCAGTTTCAGCTCGTCTTATGTTAATCTACTTTTTCAATGGGGAACTTTCGAGTAAAGGCTGTATTATAGCCCGTTTGTTGTTTTGTGAGCAAAATAACAAAAATTGGCAAATATTTACTACCCAATCGTTAATAAACAATAACATACAAAGAAACATCGAGCACATCTGAGACAGTTTTGTAGATCAAAAATATTATTATCGTAGACAATTCCCTGCTTTAATAGCTGCGTGTTGAAAAATGAGAAAAACCGCATTCCAGGTGATGAATGTATGAATGAATGAATGTGAATTTGAGAACAAAACACCTGCATAGTTCGTTAGTAAAGCGCTTTCACCCACTCTCACTTGTTCTAGAACTTTTTAAACCTAACAATCCTGATAACAATCACATTTTAAGTAGTTTCACAAGTACTCCAATCACTGAGGGCAGTTTGGAGCGTGGGCGGGAGACCAGATGTCTCTAGGTCAGGATGGGTGGATGATATTCGTTCAGGAGCTCGGGCAAGATCTTCTGGGCGACTGTGATCGTCCAGCTCACCGAACGAGATTCCCACGAATTTCATCTGCGCATCTTATTAGTCTATATATACAATAGGATAGATCTGTACAACTCTAATTGCACATATCCGAATAGAAACAACGAATGATCAGGAAGGAGAATGAGGTGTGCTCATAGAAATTTATAGGAAAAAATGAAAGGTCCCGTGAAAAAATGCAATAAAAATTGAAATCACAACGACAAAACTCATAACAGTACCCGTATACATTGGATAATTACATATGAGAGTTGAGATTCTCTCTCGTCTATCCGAAACCACCACCATGACCACTCAGAAGCGATACTTCTTTACTTGATTAGCTTCGATCGTATACTGTCGTGACGGAAGTGTGGTGTTTCCGTCGATTTCTATCCGTCGACGATGCTGGCGTGACTAAAATGGCACTAATTAGTCCCCGGAAAATACCCAGGTAACCGTTATCCCCTTTAGAAACAGTCAAAAAAAACGCAATGAAATTCGCCCCTTCTTTTCGCTCCATCCGAGTTAAAAATTGATTTTGCCTTTCGCATAAGCGACTAATCGATAATGCATTTTAAAGAGCGGTCTTACATCCTCCTTCCAATATATTAGTAAAAAACCAACTCGCGATAAAAACTTACATGTTGGCGTCGACGGAGGGTGGTCTCCAGCCCGTCCGTTGGTTCGGTGACTGGTCGTTGAAGCTTGCCGTACGCTCGTTTGTGATGTCGGAAATCGGCCACTGACCGTTCGTCGCGTATGTGTGTTGGATTGCGACTGGAATGAGCCAAATAGATGGCGGAACTGACAATGAGTTTACTACAAAAAATCATCAAAGCCCCTCATAAGACCCCCCCCCCCTTCTAGATGTCCTCGGAATTCGTGACAGAATATAAAAATTACCGGTGCCGGAAGACTGGGTGTTCGATTGAGCTCTCCCTCGATAAAGCGGACCACTTTGCCCATGCAGGCATCTTGATAGTCATGAACCCATCTGAAGTGAATAACTACTAGTAGGTACTAAAAGGGAAATTAAAGGTTCGTCAAAGTGATCAGTAGAACTTACTTGACACCGTTGTATTTGGTGATCATTCGAATATCTTGAGGGATTTGCTCTTCGTTTTGAGGGAATTCAAAAGCCTGATCGAAGATCGGAATGATATTCTTCTGATATTCAAAGGCGCATTTGAGCTGAAAATTTTGATAAATAATTTGTTTACAAACAGGAAGAGATGAATAGAAAGGGACTGGAAAGGAAATGACCGCAAGTAGGAATGATGAGGAGGACAAGGAAATTAGGCCGTAAGGTCATTTGAGAATCGCACTCCTTTCCGGGAACAACAAACTCTCCTGAAGTGGGGATGAAGTATGAATCACCCGACAGTCACCAGCAATCCACAAAAACCCGAAAAAATCGGAAAACGGAAATACTCGACCAGGTCATCCCCGGAAAACGAAAATAAAAACAAGGTCCACTCCAAGAGCTTGGAGTTGGATCGGCAGTACCCCGAAAACTAGCGGTGAACGCCGAACTTAAGCACTGATGGTTTTTTGCTTAGTTTCATGCTTTTCAGTAGCTTCTAGTCGGTCATAAAAGAGCAGAGGTCGGATATCGGAAATCGAAAGTCGGAAATCAGAAACCACACCTCTTTGTGTATCCAGTCATCTCCATTGTGGTCATTGAGCAGGCGATCAAGGGAGTTTGGTGTGAGGACGAGGATGAAGTGCTTGGCGGCTTGGATGTTCTTTAATAATGACGAATCGAATTTTCCGGCATACAATTTGTCAACATCGATGAAAACCTGAAATTCAACCGATATACTGTAGGAGGAGCGTTCAGAAATGAAGTGTCGACTTACTTTGTAGCCTTTCAACTGTAGTAACACCTTGATAAGGCTGGCCAGTTGATTTCCGGTACTTCTTCTATAACTGATAAAGACGTCTATTTGTTTACTCAACACCGCCACTTCGACTTCGTCTGGATGCTTGGCGTCTGAAAATAGAGCCACTTAGTCATTGACTATGGAAACTTCCGAAAAGCCGACCAAACCGACAGTATCTGCCTTATGCCTCTGGGATGTAGCGTCAGTTTTCACCCAAGCTTTTCCCTTCTAGGGTGATCAGGGTAATGAGCGTAATCCATGAATGACCGAGACAACTAGCTAGAAATCGCCGCTCCCCGAAGGACAACTCACCTCCCATCTCCATTTCTGCCCTGTTCTTTTCCAAAGTCTCGCTGAACGCTCTCTTCTAGGAGCCACAATCGCCTACTGCCCTTAGCCGGAACTCTGAATCCCGGACTTTGAAGGAAGCGGGTTCTTGGCTGGCTACAGGGTAGATATCCAGAGTAGAAACAGCGGCGTTTTCTGGTCTAGGGATTCTAGGCTCCCAGAATATCAATAAACCAAAACAGCAGCATGAAGACAGTGATGAAAAAGTCGATTCGGCTCTTCGATATGGGCACCATGCCCCCTTCTGTCCAGAAAGGTCAAAATTCGTCCTGTTTAAAGCCTGCAAGAACTTCCAAATGAGGTGCTGTTCTACCCGATGAATCCCTATTAACTGAAATAGTGGGCAAGGACCCGTCTCCCTTGGGAATTACCCGTTCCTTTGTTTTTTCGAATTCAACTTTTTGGCTCCTTTTCAAGACTTTGAATTCTGCTCACTTTGGAATGCTTGAGTCATCTTGAGTCGATGGATCGGATTCGTAATTCCGCAAGCAGTTTGCATTAGTTCATCGGTTAACGAGCCCAGTAACGACCGATTGATACCACACGACAACATCTGGAAAGATAACATTGGTCAATCACTCACGACCGAGAGGAACATCCCACAAGTACGAAAGGTTCTAGAAGTGCCGTACCTTGTAGGTATAGACGGATAACTCTGGGCTCAGGGACATCAGTAACTGGTCCAGATTGCTTTCGTCTACAGCTGAATAGTCAGCAGCAATCTGAAATGATACACGTGATAAAATTAGCATTGACATGTTCTCACTGAGTACTAATGACAAAGAGGAAACAAATAAACAACCAGAAAATCAAAAAATGCGTAAAAATTTGGTAAACCCTTACCTTGAGGCTCTCAAGTTCCCGGATGAATCGTTTTCGATGAAGTCCTGAGGACATTCCAATGTCTCTTTCCAGTTCTTTTTCATTCAAATGGAGCAAAATGTCCCCATCGACCATTTGCTTCGCAAAACGGTCGACATAGTCCTCGAAGCCAATCTGAAAGCATTTCTTCATTCATTTCGATGGCATAATTTATTTATTTTCTCGCCTTATTTTCTCATTCTCGCATGATTCTCATTATTTCAGAAATATTCCCAAAAATTGGCAAGTTCCGTGGAAATTTGACCTCAAACGTCAGAATCTTACGGGGTAAGAGTTCAGTAACTTTGGACTCTGGACAGTTGGTTATGTATAACGGACAATAGACCTCGAAGATCTTGCAATCGGGCTGCCATTTGTTATTCCATCAAAGTCCATTTTACCCATACAGAACACATTCCAATCTTTTAAAAAACCACATTCCAATCTTTTAAAAAAAAGGAAATTTTATTTTAAAATCGAAAACAACAATATTTTCAAGTGCGTACGTCCTGATGTATGGCATAGACTTCTGAAGAATTCAGCGGTAAGACTTTGTCCTGTCTATAAATGATCCTTAAAATGAAGGTCACATCGAGAACCGACTTTCTAGCAATACTCTTTCCAACTAAGCAGAGGATGGATGGATTCCCATGGAATGTACTGATCAAGAAATCAAGGATATCTCAAGTGATTCCCGAGGGTTCGCGAATTCTTCGTTTCTTTCGTCTTTCATCTTTGATCTTGTGAACATCGCAGCGGAGCGATCGTCTGGGGCGATAGGAACGCTAAACAATGTCCTGGCCAGGTGGCCGGCCATCCGATAACCTCTACTACTTAAAATATCACAACTACGAAGGTAACATGTAAGAGCTCAGTAGGGTGTTTACCAGACAGCATTGTTTGGTGGAAGAACCGAAAACAAGGTCGAAGGATCCCAAATTAGAAAAAATTGTTTAAATTTAGATGATGAGCGCAAAAGAACCGGATTCGACCCTATCATCATGGGTGGCCCATCTTGTCCCCACGGCTCGGGCCCAATTTTGCGAATGTGACCTCTGTGCTCGCTTGCAGATCGTTCGCAGAGTTCAGCAAGGGTGCACGCAAGTAGTTTTGCAAACTACGGTGACTCAACGGCTGTCGTGTTAGGACCGGCCATTGCGAGTGTACGCAATTGTTATTGTGACGTAGACAAATAAAGTAATGAAAAAAATGTTTCGAGTAGAATGACTGATTGAAGTATTCGCTGAATAACCAACCTTTTTCACCCAGTATTGAACATCTTTGACGGTCCAATTCGGGACTTGTTGGGCAAGCTTATACGGTACCTATAATCAATCGATATATTGGTTAGTGATCAAAGCTTTTCGCCTTTAGACGACCTACCTCTTCACCAATGACCGTCAACGCTTCCGAGGCGAATTTGGCAGCAACTTCATCGGGTGATGATGCCACCTCTTTGAGGGCTTGAATAGCACCGATTTCCTGGAATAACAATTGGTTTATTGATTGGATTTATTGATCGTTATTCGTCTACAGTAAGAAATAATAGAAAAGCCTGTTCTGATAGAAAAGTGATCTATGAATAGAAAGAACAGTGAGACAGTTGATGGTAGGGCAAAACAAGTATTCACGTTCCCCGAACACGGCCATGCGTGACTATTATGATGGATGGATTATAACTCTCCTGAATCAAGTAGGTAAACCTCACGGCTACGTTGCTATAGCCACTCCCGGGCATCTTATGGGAATGGTCTATAGTTCCTTTTGGGGCCAAGATGGGTGCCCTTTCGGCTCCTATCCGCCGAAGACTGAATCACCAGGGAATAGGGTCAGGTTTAGGGCTTTCAATCCTTTTGTGTTGGCCGAATTCGAACAATAAATGCCCTTTATGCTTTTTTTAGCCGAAAAACCACTACTACTTATGCCATATTAATGATGGGCCCTAGTGCCCTTTCGGAACCAAAAACCAAAAAATTATCGCGCTCATAAAAATTCCCGTTTCAGACTGATCCAAGGCGATTCTCATTCACGAAAAGCGCATATGCTCGTAATGCCGTCGTACAATTAAAATTAGCATTACATTATTCCTATTTAGCATTTCCCGAATAGGACAGGAGAAACTAACGCCAACGGCAACAATTCTACCCGAATCGACCACCATGAACCCGTTTTCGAGGTGTAAAACGACGGGTTAATCACGAAGAGCCAATGACGGTTATGGATTCTGGTCTGTTACACCTAGGTGAACAACGGAGTGCAAATGGAAAAGCCTGACTAGCCTTCATGGGGTTTCCGATTGTCTGGGCAATGCCCTAAGGCCACTGTTGGACTCGGGAGAAGTTCCTAGCACGCTTAAATCTGTGGAACCCAGAAGCATCAATTGAGATGATCTTGAGAATGGTGAGTTCAGGGTGAAACTGAAAGTCCAGGTAGGACCCAAATTACAATAATCCACGTGACTGCGTCAGTCATCACATTAACAGCCCTCCTTTGTTCGTTCCCAATGTCTGAATTCATAAATCACACACAAACCCTCAACAAAAGAGGTGATAAAAGGCTGAGTACATGAGACGTTTACGTAACGGTGTCGTTGGAACCACAGAGCATCACGGGAAGAGTAGATGAACCCAAAGAACAAAGAAGAAACAGTTGATCAGCTGTGGGCGGGAGGTCTGGCATGGGGACGGAATCGTAGGAGGGCTTTCAGGGGCACTTTGCTACACTCTAACACAGGCCTCGACGCCAAATGAAAGGGTGGACATATAGCTGGGACTCGTCGTAGGGTTTTCTGGGTATTTTAAATTTAGGCACGTTTCTTTTCTTCCACTCCTTTTCAAGGGGCATATTCGCATATCGATGGCCTCTGTCTAAAAAAAACCCCATGAATTACCCACGAGGTAACCCCAGCATGACCACGTTGTGTTAAGCTGATCACCGCGATCTCCCAAGACAGGTGTTTATAAGTGTTTCCCAGGTGTTTGTTGGAATCTCAGACGATTATTGAGCTGATCAGGGATCGACGTTGTTGGCGCCACTACGCTTCATGTTTGAAAACAAGAAAACACTAAACAAATGATCGTGATCGAGGTCGATTAAATCACGTGTGACTTGAGGGTTTCCGGCGCCAACGTCCGGAGAGATAAGGGAACGCTTTAACAGCAGCTTTTGAACACTGGGAGGTTGCGAAAGGGGACGAAACATTACGCAATCGCGGCCAATAAACAACAACAACAGGACCCAGAATGAGGACCTGAAGCGACCCACATGGCGATCCCAGAGAAGTAGCTCTAGCTGTAGGGGAGAAGTAGTGTAATGGGCAGAAACGACAGGAATGTCTATGAACTGTACTAAAACTGGTCCGCTACCGTGAGAAGAGCATGGGCGGATAAAAATAGCTTCACCATCGTCGTGGGTCTACAGATATGTCATTACCAAATACCCACCTTTGCATAAGGGTGGAAGAATCGTCTCGTTCTCGACTTCTTGAAGCGATTGAGGGCGACGGATTTCTCGCGGGCTACCAGAGAAGGTCGAGCGACGAGGGCCGTCTTAGTGATTCGTGGAGATGCACCGCTGAGACATTGGAGATTGGTGAAAGACGTTGGTCGAGCTGGAGGCATAGAGAAAGTCGAGGGCTCTTTGACGTCTTCTATAGCAAGAGTTTGTTCAGAAGTTTGTCGTTCCCATTGTACAGGATCCAAAGGTGGACTACAACCGCAGCCGTCCATGTCGGAGCGTCTTGCGATAAGTGCGCAGCAGCGCTCCGCCCTCGTAGCAGGCGACCAAAAGCGCTCAGCAGCAAAATACTGTGCGCTCTGTTGTGGGAGAGGCGATGAGACGAGCGTGTCAGCAGTAGACGGTCGGTGGTCGGCCATTGAATTATGCCTTGTCACAAACAATATGCAACTAGTGACCGTAGACAAGTTTTGGAACAGATTTGACGTCAGTAGGTACTGTTCTGTTGAAGAAGGTCTGTGTTCTGAAGGCCTGTGAGTGAGAGTGTTGCTAGTGGGAACACAAGGGCAATCCCAGACTTTGGATGTCTGTTGTCTGGGAATGCGCCTAGGATGACCGATTTAAGAAGGCTGAAAACGTTCGACGAACAACGAACACTTGCTGCACTTGTGACGTAGGGAGCTCGGATCTATGACTAACCATTCGGTAAGGTCAATTTGCAAAACGTTCCCGCAACGACTGGTGATACAAGACTGATAAGGGGTATCAGACGAGCTTGGCACACTGCCAAATAGGGCTCCTACCGAGAAAAAACGATAAATAATAGTTGGGCTCTATGCCTTCCAAGGATTCTGCCTTCGAACTGTATCGTTTATCGTCACCACGTCGACTGGGAAATTGCCGAATCTTCCGGCTCTGAGGGGATAGTTGACGAGCTTTAGAGACATTTATCAGCCTTCTGGAGAATTCTAAGGCATCCGGCCAATTTGACGGGCGTTTTGCTGACACCTCAAAAGCGCTGAAGTATAAAAAGACGTTACGCTTCGTTACTTAAAAATGAGTTCCAAGCTGAATTATCGTTTCCAGTTTGAGAAACAAAGCCAAGACGTCACAATCAGCAAATCAGAAGCATTATGATGGAGGAAATTAGCAAATTAACGTTTCTACCAGGAAAAAATTCTTTGCCAGACAGAAGGCTTGTTGGGCACGCTCCATGACTCATAAATTGACTCATTTGGGGTTTTTTCTTGTGATTCCAGGAATGCCCTTTATTACGAAACTATTGTTAATTGTGATTTTCGGAAAGTTTTGGGAAAGATCGATTTCGTTTTTGACGTCAAACGTACTGAGACCACTTTTGACGTACATGGCTAGAGACTATAAGGACTCGCTCTGAGTTCGTCCTAGGGGGCAAGCCTACCCACTTGGGCACTCCACTACGAAACAGATGGGGTCAGTTCAAGGTTTGGGTTGAATGGATAGGTTAGGTTCCCAAGCATAATTAAGGATCAGGGTTTACTGGTAGCTACCAGTGTAACCGTATAATCACGGTAGAAAAATTACAGGTGTTTGAACACCCAAACCCCTAATCTTAAGCTACCCCATGTTTAGCTGCATTTTCTTGGATTTATCACTCGAATCGGCCGTGGTTAGCTGAGCATCAAACACTGAAGCCTCCACTGAAATGTGCCCCTCCCATATGGGGAGCATCAATGCCCTAAGCTCTATCCGATACCGATTCGCTTGGACGTTCCAGAATCGATGAAGCCCAATCATCTCGATCCTTGTCGAGTTCTTCCACTAGAGCACTCAGTCTCCAATGGTCCGCATTCCGCATTACTCCCTTGTGATCCTCAGCCATCCCTAGGTAACCTTAATGCACTTGGGATAAGGTATCCAGGAAGAACTGAACCAGTGGGCAGGAATTTCGATAACCCAAGGTCCTGGAATGATTCATATGCTCGTAGTGCAAACTGTTACCTCACTGGGTAAACCAACCAGTTTGGGATGTACACCAAAGATCACTGTTGAGGTACAGTACAGCAGTACTCTGGCCTCGCGACTTTACTTATTCATTCGGATTGAAATTTGTTTCCAAGCAAAAAACAGGAGCCTAGCCTTCGAAGCAGTACTGGAATGTACCCCGATCCTATTCCCAGATCCTTTCCTTCGCCCTCCTGAGAGGATCCGAGAGAGGGAGGAGCGGCGTTAAAACCCAGCCAGGACAACCTTACCATACTACTAAGTGTACTTAGGTCAGAGTATTCATATATGGCATTCGCTGGGTCGAAATTTTCAACCGATCATATGGTTGAGCCTGTTCTGAAGGCATACCAGAGATCATTAGGTAGGTGTGGCATTCCTGAGTGGGTGTGTGACCGGTGTCTCCGTTTAGGAACGGGCAAGCAAGACCGAATATCGATTTTGAAAAAATTTCATAAAAAGGTCAATGACTTGAGGAGAAGTGCACTCCCTGCCCACCGAGTCCTTTATAGGCCCCTCTTTTATAGATTCCTGTTGGGTTTTTTCTTACCCTGTCTTTATGTATATCGGGAATCATAGCCGGTTCTTATGCGTGCCTTTGAGTAGGGTAAATAGCTAATAAATTAGACGACCGTAATAATTTGTGCATGCAATTGATGGATTATCAACTAAGAATAACCATGAACCGGTCCCGATCATCAGCACGTGATCAGTGTGTCTTTCAATGGTCGGAACCCCCCGTCGCACGTTTACTGATCATAAATCGCCCGTCAACAACACCACACCGTCCACAAACAAAACAAACATCGCCGCAAAGCAATGTGCTGAACTGATCACTCATGAGTAATTCAATCTTTCATCAACGTTCAGGGACCGTTTGGTGGTCAGCGATGGCGGAAGGCGGTGTTTTCTCATCAGCATACCCCGTACCGTAATGGGCAGAAACCACAGTGTCAGAAATCATAAACGGGACACAAAAGTACCTGAAAGACATCGAGCTTGTTTTGGTCCTTTTTAATGGCAGCTTCCATTGCAAAATGAAACGCGGCCATACTTTTCGCCTCTCGCCGCATCGATTTCAACATTGGAAGAAGCCTGAAAAAAGAATTTCCGATCTTCTTCACAATTTCACAGCCTGAGGAATAGGGAAGCCTTGGACTCGCCCTTTCACCCGATTTTTTGAAGCAATTTCAAGAGACCTATCAAATTCGATTAATTTTTTACATTATGTGATTTCTACTTCCTTCCCATCCCCTCCTGCTCACTGTGTATTACCTAGACCTACCTACCACTTTGTAAGGTTCTACCTGGGTGAGTTGTGAGGGAAAAGTTCATTTGGTTGTAAAAAAACGGCCATTACTGAGACCAAAGACCATAATTTATTCATATGTATCGTTTTTTATCTTTTTTTGCTCAAGATCTTGCTCCGTTTAACGACTCAACAGTCACAAGGCGACTTTAATCAACGGCATATCACTTGGCTGCCAAAAATATATGCCGGTTCTTATCAAATAAACCCTTAAGAATGTTTATTGTTTTTGTTAACTCCATCAGGCCCATTTTGATGCGTAAAGGGCAGATAACACATCAAACGTCGAAGTACAATATATAGCAGCTGAAAGGTAACAACTACCCAACAGTCTTACTTGTTACTTTGTTCCTATTCCGTCTACACCCAGTTCACCTCTCCTTAACGTTCTTTTCTGATTACTAAGCCCGTAGTGGACCTTTGGATTATGATCCTGACCCGGCTAGCTTTGTCGACCCTCTAAATGAAATCTCCCATGTTTTTTTTACTCTATGTTCAAAGATTTTCTTAAATTCGAGATAATTGGACGTTGGCTGTCCTCAAACTTCAAATCGGCCCATACCTGCCCTTACTCCGTGTTTGTCGCAAAACCCAACATGCCCTTAACAACTGATCTTCGATATTTTGGCTAATGTGGTAGCGTCCCTGATCGTTCCCTGGTCATAGAACCACCACGAGGGCCCCTATTTTGGTTTAGCTGTAACAGGTGCAAATCGTGCAAGTAAACACTGCCATTCCCTTACCTGACTCGCCTTAGGTGATTACTCCCAATGGGTGCAGGAAGATGGTAGGGGGGAAAAATTTTCACTCAAGATTCATTAGGATTTCTGACTGCTTTCTTTCCTCAACCCAGCTTTCTTCGCTATTCCTACCAAATTCTCCTTCTAGACCATCCGGAGAGCTGAAAAATAAAGAACAATAGCTACTCTGAACATGAGTTGTTCGTGAAGCCTTTCCTATTTACACTTTTTTGAGATATGATTTGCAAACTATTTTTCCATTTTTAATCGATTTGGAAGGTACTCGGACTGATCGTTCTCTGTTCATCGCTATAATCACTTTATCATTAACGAAGCGGAAGAGATAAATGGTATGCTTTTATTTTCAATTACAGAACAAAAGTTTAAGTGTGATAATGACTTCCCAAAGGAAAAACATGATAATGGCAATAGAAACGCTATTACACCTGTACCCAGTGGATCAGGATAACCATACAAGCCAGCACAGGCTTCTACTCTTCTCGGGCCAATTGTTCGGGACTAAACCAGCCTGGGAGGATGAAAGCGGCTACTTCACAGTATAGACCAAATACGCATCAAGAAGTCACCAGGAGTTAAAATGGATTGGTGGGTCCCGTAAGCAAGACTAGTCCCGAAACCCGATAGCCCCAATCCATTGATATCCACTCTTTTCTGTCTTCACTTCTTCTTCATTTTCTATAAGTTCGCTGCTTCCAAAAATCTTTTCCTCACGAGTTCCCATGACTTCAACCACCTTCCTGAAGATCAGAGAGTCGTCAGTGCAGTTTTCAGAACTTCACTTGATGATTTTGATTGACCTATTGGATCACTTCACAATTGAGGCGTTAAAGCGCTTATTCTTCAAAAAAATGTATAATTACAGATCTTTAGTGGTCCAAAATCTGCTATTTTCCACGATTCCCCACCCCTCCCCCTTCCTCAATCTTCAATATTAAGCATATTGCGATTTTTTTGAGAGAGTCGCTTGTTTTATCTAACATATGCTCTAAAATTCTATTTTTTTTNTTTTTTTTGCAAATTTTGAAACACTTTTTGAGTTTCTACAGGTTCAGTGAAAGCATGATGTGGGTATTTATGACAGTTACGGTCATTTGGACGTCGTTTATCATCCTTACTAATCTATTTCCGTACAGTCGTCATTGCTAGCACCACCCTTAAATATGACAATCGAAATTCGCTCTCATTAGTGGATTCCCCAAGGAGCATTAATGAGATAGGAAGTCGACTGTTTTCCAAACAATGTTTATGCTTTGAGACAACAACTGCCTACGGGTTTGAGAATTTATTTACTTACTCGATGTACGCATATAAATTTTCTTACAATTATTGTTAAAAAACAGGGTGGTTGGTATTGATAGTTTTTAATTCATTCACAGTGTCATGTAAAAGTACCAGTCGACCTCAACAATTTGAAAAAAATCGACCCGGAGACCTCGAGAAGAGCCATCTTCTGGGAAATCGACTCAATTCTACTTTTTCAACTTCTTTTTTATTTTTTAGAATTTTCTTGAACTGACCGCTTATGAGTAAGCAGGTGCTCAGGTGTCAGCCTAAGTTTTTTGCAAGCTTCTTTCCCATTTCCTCCTCTTTCTTATGTAAGTTCTCCCGGCGATTCAACTACCGTAACCCTACCCCTACCCATAGGATTCAAACATCCGCAGAAAAATCTGGCAAATACAGTAGCTGAGTTGAGTGAGCAGTAAAAAACGGCATATTGGCAATACAACAGCGGTATATTTGTCCAGTTTTGAAAAACTACCCAAGTGATTCATCACTGGCGATGCACTACACAGTCCGTGGGTCAACATTGTCGATTAACACTGAGGTTTTCCCCATGTTGTAACAGCTGCGACCACATTGCAACTGCAAACGGCCGCGCCCAATTCCTGCACACCTGATTCGGGGAGAATGTTCAGAGAAAGAGAAAAGGTTACAGCTGTAACAGGTTATGGGTTTCCCAGAGTAACCGGCCGAGTTGACTTGTATTCAATAGAAACTTCTACGTTTTCCTAAGCGGGTTGGCGGTTTACTTGTTTTGCACACTTCCTACTTGGGAGCTTCTTACCCGTTGGGTAATCAAATGAGTATCAGCACTGGAAAAGGGTCATTGGGCCTCCTTTTGATTGGCAAAAAAGTAATTTAGCCAGTTTGGCGCCGTAAAAGGTCACCTTCGGGAACAGAAGTCACACATTAAACTAGGATCTCAGCAAATTGCTTTTTCATTCAGAATAAGTAACGACCAGTAGAAAGTGATTGATTGGTGTCGACAACTGGGACATACTGGATCGAACTCTTGGAACAATGCCAAATTATGATTCTATTTGTTTACAATTTGCAAATCGGAGTTTATTCTGAGTTAACTCGTTTTCTTTCGCGACCGGAAAAGAAAAACATAATGGCATTGTCGACAACAAAGTCGTCATTTTCATAGGTGAGACTTATCATTATCATACCTTGATCTGCAAGTTTTTCTTGTTTTTATTTATCTGGCAACTGCAATTTGCCAAAATACAACTAATCGATGGGAAATTGTAGAAATAACTTTCGAGACAACGTCAAAAAAAAGGGATTTGCAAAAAAACAACCTCACAAAAAGGAGGACGCACAACTCCCTTTCCATAGATGGTTCACTTAATTCACAAGTTTCTCATAATGAAACAGTTGTTCATAATGAGAAGGATGGCGCTCCTGCTTTCATATAATTTCATTACGCTTACTTTTTATCGTGAGATTTTATTGATGCTATTTGAGACAAACTTCAATTACTCTATTTTGAGGTAGTCCAACAACTGAGAAATTGGAATTTCGCTCACTTCAAAAGAAGTTCCTCGTTACCATCTTCGAATAGTTGATTTTCCGGAAAACCAGCGTTCAAAAAATACAAATCTATTCCAGTGTTCACATGGTCCAGACTACATGCCGCTAGGTGAGACAACTAACTAATAGGACCATGTAAGCCAAGACGCAACGAGGCATCTAGTTATGAATCACTAAGCGCTATGAACGGAATAAGACTCTTGCTCATGATGAGGACGTTCCTAACTTCCTAGTTCGCCGCGTCCCATGTTTCCCCTGATCTCGTCAATCGTCACGCCGATCGTACCGTCAATCTCGTGCTCCCAAGCTTGATATCGAGTTGGATATTTTCATTTACCTTAGTTTCGTGCTTTTAACTGGTGGACATGCGATCACTTTCAGTTTAGTAACACAGTATACTATCAAATAACCTTGTTCAGGGAGAAACGATCCAAAAACGAAGAATTTCCACAAAACTAGAGTACCAACCTGCTTAACCATTCTTTTGGACGTCCCTGAGAGTGTTTATAGTGATCGCCTGCGAAAGTGGTGGCGTCATGAGCAAGTAGAAATGGCTCCACT